CCCCCATGGTGTTTAAAACAAGTCAAATATTACTATGCCACTGGTCCTAATGTAATATAGTTCTGTTTTCAAACATCAATAACTCTATAACTATTGATTTGCGGCAAAAAAACCAAACGAAGGCCATATTCGTGTTCTGCATGCAAAATACCACTAGAACAAAAACTATATAAAAGGTGTACTTGAGACTGGTGCATGAGTTAAACAAAAGTTTCTTTTTACCTTTTGGTTTTTGAGGGTATTACATACCTAAAAAATGGAGACGTTATTATCAGTTGAGCTTCCCCTTTCCCCTCTCCATGTTATATCGGTTGTTGCGCGGTTTTTTTCTTTGTGACCTCGAATGCTTTATTTTCCCTCCATAGCTCATTAAACGCCCGTATTCTGATAGAGCGAAACAGAACTTTGAAATGGACATACACTGGTGAAGACAGGTAGGTAGGACTGTTTCTTCGCTGGTTTGCACATGGAGTAGATTTGATTTTGTTTTAAAGCCTGAAATCATTTTAAGAGATACTACCAGTTTAGAGCCATGCACAAATCTTAAACGGTTTATCTGATCTCTATTGGTGCAAGCTACACTCCTTAGCCTTCCTCCCCCCCCCCACCAGGATTTTAAAAAATCCCCTAATACAGCACCCCCGCTAAAGTAGAAAAAATGTTTTAATAGATGAAAAATTTTCATATCTCTTTATTCTCCCCCTTCGAGACAAAAAAAGACAACATTTAAAAGACAAATAAAATACTGCATAATACAATCCATAGCGAAAATAACACAACTTAGTGTTAAGATTCAACAATCATGAATACAGTGTCATCATCTTTGGTAGAAAGGTAAAAAGAAATAGATCTAGATTTCACTTTCACTTATTGTAAGGATAGTGCACTTTTTCAGCCAATTGTCTATGTTTGTTCTTTTTTACCAATTTAAGGGTGGTTCTTTCTTTTAAACGCTATCAAAACTAAGACGGGGGATTGGCTTAGCCTCAGCCAATGAAATGAAGAGAAGTTTTATTTACTCTCTGTCGTAGTAACACACTGGTCCTGGTCTGCTTGTTTACACCCACGTAAGAATCTCAAGTGCGCGCTTTGAAGTTCATCATCGCTTTCGTTTGCCCTTTTGCTTACCTTAAGTTAACGTTAACACTCAAACACACACACACATACAAACACACACACTCACACACAAACAGACACACAAATAGACACAAATACACAAGCGCGCGCACACACACACACACACAGGCGCGTGTGCACACACAAACACAAACTACAAAAAACAGGACCCAGCATCTATGGTGTAGCGGTTAGGCGCTTCGCTGTTGCACACAACAGACTCCGAACCCGTAATCGTGACA